TAACTGTCTTCATACAGTGAGGTACGATAGTCGTGCCAGTGGAGATAAATATCTTGGTCATGATTACAGTCTGGACAGAATTTGTGAAATTATTTGTTTTAACATTAATGAAACAGTCCTTTGAAGGATTTCTTTTAGCTAGACTGTCTCACCAACCTGTTGTAGAGTTCTGCTGCATGGGTAGGTGAATGCATGTAATAGAGGAATGTGCAGGACTGAATGAAGGTAGGATAAAACGGGATCTGTTCAGTTGGATCTGCAGCCTTTTGTGTGCCACAAGGGTACTTTTTAGAGAGTCCTATAGATAGGCCGGGAATTTTTTCCCATAGCATCTCTTTTCTGCGACTGCATTCAAGTTGTGTTCACAATCAGCTGTTAGTGACTATGCTGGAGTGCACCCTGCCTCGAGCGGGGAGAGCTGTGGAGTAGACAGGAGAATTGTCTTAGGGCAAGCAGCAGAGGTGGCCTTATCATCCCACTGCAGCATGGCCACTGAGCGGGGTCGGGAACCGAGCAGGAGGAAAATCCATCAGGAGGAAAGAGGGGATGGTTCCTCATTCCCTGCCTCATGTCTGCTTTGGAGCCCATCTGGAAGGAGTTGGTGTCTCATGACTAGTGCAATGAAGGACTTGGGGAGTGGTGGGAATCCACAGCAGCAGGAGGAATGTGAGGGGCCTGCATATTATGTCTTACATAAATTAAAATAGTATACTCATTTCAAGTGCTTTTTGTTTAAAGGCTAAATTGCCATATGTAGACCATCAAAATTTGAACAATAGACAAAAGTTACCCTTTTTTTTGACCTTGTAAATTTGGGATAGTCTCGTGATTTGGATAGGGAGAGAGAAGGGAGACGGACAGTTCTAATTGTAGGCTCATTTTTTGAACTTTTAGGGCTCATAGTGTTTTAAGTGCCATACAATTTTTTTTTTTTTTGAAGGGTGGATCTTCTCTGTAGCTGCATGACTGGCTGCAGGAAATTGTAAACTAATGCTCACAGTTGCTAGGCCTGTTTCATTTGAGTGGAATTCTGTGTACATTTTTATAAACTCCTTGAGCTTAATATAGAGTAGGACACATTCAGTCAGGGCTGTGGGGAGTAAGTAGGGCAGGGAGAAGGCTTTTGCACCTGGAGAGCTTTTTAACCTTCAATAAAAGAATATATATTTAACGTATTTTAAAATATATTGAATGAATTGGGAGGAGAGGTACAAACTGACAGTTCTGCATGAGAACGGCCCCTGTTCTGTTGCGGGTCTGAAGAAGCTGAGTGAGAGCAGCAAGTTTAGGGGCAGAATGATTTGTCTTTGTATCTCTTGGTTTCCTCGTGTGTTTTATTTTGTTGTCATGCCCACATCAACAGGTGCCTGGTGTAAATTTGCCTGTCAGCCAACTGACCTATTTCTTCTCTGCAATCCTCATCAGTGGTGTGATACATGAAGTCGGCCATGGGGTGGCAGCTATTCGGTAATACAAATTACTTTTCTCTTACTATGTGCCAACAAAGCGTAATATTCCACAGCAATTACTTACAGGTGGATGTTGTTAGCACTTCTTCAGTTTATCTAGAGAGTCTGTTTATTCTGTATTTCATAGCTTCCTTAGATTTTAAGTTTGGAAGGGTGTACAATTAAGAATAGAGTTTTAATATAGTGTCTATTCTACAGATCACAAGAAAGGACTTCTGCTTTGCAAATATACCATGCTGCATCAGGTTTAAAATAATACTTCTTTTAAGTGCTCCTATTTTTCCCACAGCAATTGCATTTCTGCAGTTGTGGCACCTGAAGAGGACCCATGCGCTATTGCACAATGGTACTCTAAAACAGATTTTAAATTGATTTGTTTAAACATAGCTTGTGAAGTAGCATATGAACAGGCTGAAGCAGTAACTCAGGCAAATGTGATTTGCCCCTATTAATCTCAGTGATGTGTTAATTTTGATCAAAGATGATATTTTTAATGTCACTTAACTATGATGATTACTTCACAAAAAAGTTATTTGACATGGTTAGTCATTACTGTTAAATGACACTCTAGCATGAGAGGGTTAAGTGGTGGTTGCTGGGACTGTTATTCAGATATCCTCCGCATTTCTCCTGGACATCATCATTATCTGTCCCATGAGCATGAAGCCCTAAGTTGTTTCTCTGATTTTCTTGGGTGTAGGGAGTCATGACTGCATCTTAACGCATTACTACCTTTTTTATAACCCCAAAAGTTCTCAATTAAAGGGGTGGTCTGTGTTTCATATGCTCTGTTTGTCTTTCAGCTTTTTGCCCCTAATATTCACAGGGATTTTTGTGTGGAGGATAAAGCTCTTGCTCTTGTTCATCCCACCACAGGAAGAAGCAACAAAATTTCCTTTCTTTTACAGTGCCTTCACATGCTGCTGGCGAACTGCAGAGAAGCCAGGAGTAACCATAGAGCTCTTTTTAACCAGAGTGAATAATTCTTATACCTTAGTGGAGTGATATCTTCATTCAAGATCTGGAGCAAAGGCTCTGAATATTCAAGTTTGGGTTATGTTTTTGTCAAAAAATTGATTCCCAGCTATTTCCAGGGGAAAAATTAGTTTTTCCGATGTACATTGCTATTGCTGCTGCTGTTTTCTGCTTGACTTTTTTTGGTTTTTTTTTCTCCTCCTAGCATAGGTTGGGACTATAGTGCTGTTACGGTCAATCCTTAGGGTTTAGGCTTTACTAGATAGCTGTGCTGTGGGCAAATTTTATTATTCTGGCAAATCACTTTGACACCCTGAAATCTAATACACTTCCGCCAACTTCAGTTCAGGATAGTATTGGTTGTGAACTGCAAGACCTTAAAATATTTGAGCCTTAGCTTAGTCAAGGCTTGTGCCAAAAAAAGCCTTTTTCTTTTTCCCTCTGTACCTCCAACCCAAGTCATGAAATCATGTATAGGCATTAGACTGCCTGTTACTAATCCATAGCTTGGGTAGGTCTGATGAGTTAACTCCAGGGAATTAATGTATTACTTCATTCTGATTAATTTTGTATAATTCTGTGTCTTCTTTTATTGTATATGCCGAATAAATAAATAAATGTGAATAAATAAAATGCTATGCCCAGTGTACTGTCTCAGTAAAGATATGGGATTAGCTGATCTGTGCCTGGTTTGTCTTGGAACATGATTGTCTTGGAATAATAATTAGAATGTAGTTGTCTTGGAACATGATTATCATGCCTGTATTAGTCCCTTATGAAATTTCTAGCTTTATAAAACCTTTACATAGTTATTCCAAAAAATGCCATTTAAAAGCAATTGTAAAACCTCCAAAAAACCCCAAAAATATTATCTGTATGACAGTGTCAGCTACTAATATATTTAAATAGCATTTGTCCTTTTAACCTCTTGACTTGTTTTCATTTTTTCAGATGACATTTCCCTCATTTTTGTTAGTTTACAATTTACTCTAAATTTCATTTAGGAGAAACAGAGAAATGATAAATTCCAGAAATCTATATGTTTTTCTTTAAAAGGAAAGCGATTGCTTCTTCCAGATAATTTTTCATAGATTAGTTTGAAACTGCATCCTACAGGCTGACATTTTTTTACTTAAAAGAAAAAATCCCTCAAGTGTTAAAATATATGCTAACTTGAAAGCAGGGGTTTTTTTAAAGTATTTTATGTGTTACTCTTACCAGGAGACAGAAAAGAAGTTGAACTTATCCTTTATTTTTTACTAGGCTCACAAATGTGTGCTGCGTAAAGTGACAACTACTGCAGAAAACATCCTTTAGTTTAATTATCTTTCAATTATTCGTATTATGAAAAATAAATTAGTTTTATAATTTTAGTTATTCTCATTGTCAGAAGTACGTGTGCTATGTAGAATCTCTCACTTTTTCATTTGTTTGCTTGCAGTAACACCACTTCATTTTTCTTTTCTTCTTTTTAAGCGAACAAGTACGATTTAATGGATTTGGGATTTTTATCTTCATTGTCTATCCTGGAGCATTTGTTGACCTCTTCACAACCCACTTGCAGCTGATATCTCCAGTCCAGCAATTAAGAATATTTTGTGCAGGTAATAGTTTGTGCTTTTTTATTAAATCTTTGCTTAGCACAGTTACTTATTTTACAGGCATCATTTGTGAATCTTCGATGGAGGATTGAAGATTTAAAATGAAGAAGTACAAAAGCTTCTCTTTACCTAAAGGTGATCCTTCTGTTCTGAACCTAAATTGTGATTCCAGAAAATGATTTGATCGTTACTGTTCCATAGTGTGCTGTTTTCTGGAGGAGAGACATCAGTTTCTAGGAGCTTAAATGAGTACCAATTTCCTATCAGGAAAAAATTTATTGTATCTTAGATCTGATTCAGAATAGTTGTGCATAAGAAATACCAGTTGTGTGGTTGGGGGAAAAAATGTGGTTTCTGACCTTCCTCTCTCATTAGAAAAAGCTCTTACATCAGCTCAGGTGCAGAAGTTTCTTTGTCTCCCCCCTCCCCGCCCCCCGCATATTGTATGGCCTAAGTAGCAAAACCTTGGAGCACACAAGCTGGAAAATACTCAGCCAGAAGACTGGTGGTATGAGAACATGACTTGCTGTCACAGGTGAACTTCCTTGAGCAATTCACTACCATTTTCTGCAACAGGAGCAATCTACTATGTGATTTTTCAGTAGTATTGTGAGTGATTTTCAGTGACGTGTGAGTTATGTTATTTTACACGTCACTGTGTTTTGATGTTGCCATCAGAAGAAAACAAACATCCAGAGGGAATCACAGCTTATGGCTCCAAATAACCTCCAAATGTTTTTGATTTGATGTGTTTTGAAGTCCATGGCTACTGGGAAGTAGAGCCCTGTTGCTGTGGAAAGGTAGACGGAGACTGTGTTATGCATGGTGGGTTTGGGTTGACCGTTGGACTCGATGATCTTGGAGGTCTTTTCCAACCTTAATGATTCTATGATTCTATGCTACCTGAACCACTTGTATTACTGATTTCTAGAGACAAAGGTAGTTCCCAAACTACCGAAATAAAGGTAGAAAAGTTAGCATCTTGGTTTAGTTCTTGATACTGATGGTTTTCAATTGCAGGGGACAGCAGGATAGCAGCCAACCTGTTGTAATGTTTGGATACTAACACTATTTCTTGAGTATTGTAACTAAAACATTATATAGAGGATTTTAGGCTGGGCATACAGAAGCCTTTAGCAAAACATATTTTCAAGCTTTCATAAATCAAGTAAATGATGATGTTAGGTAAGTAAATATATCCATATTCAAAATACCCTAATTAACCAAAATTATTCACTGCAATAGGCTAACTTTTATGAAGCACCGTGTCGTGGTTTAACCCCAGCTGGCAATTAAGCACCACACAGCTGCTCGCTCACTCCCCCCCAGTGGGATGGGGGAAAGAATCGGAAGGAGAAAACTCGTGGGTTGAGATAAAGACAGTTTAATAGGTAAAGCAAAAGCCGCGCACGCAAGCAAAGCAAAACAAGGAATTCATTCACTACTTCCCACCGGCAGGCAGGTGTTCAGCCATCTCCAGGAAAGCACGGCTCCATGTAACAGTGATTTGGGAAGACAAACGCCATCACTCCAAATGTCCCCCCCTTCCTTCTTCTTCCCCCAGCTTTATATGCTGAGCATGACATCATATGGTATGGAATATCCCTTTGGTCAGTTGGGGTCAGCTGTCCCGGCTGTGTCCCCTCCCAACTCCTTGGGCACCCGCAGCCTCCTTGCTGGTGGGGTGGGGTGAGGAGCAGAAAAGGCCTTGGCTCTGTGTAAGCACTGCTCAGCAGTAACTAAAACATCCCTGTGTTATCAACACTGCTTCCAGCACAAATCCAAAACATAGCCACATAAGAGCTACACTGAAGAAAATTAACTCCGTCCCAGCCAAAACCAGCACACCCTGTTTCTCAAATTAATCAATTTCCATTTCTAGCTACTGTGAACAGAACTGGAAGAGAAGACATACCAATTTTCAAAATGGGTTGCTTACATACATTCCTTAGGAATTGTCTAGAAAAATAAGATTGTAAGCTGTAATAGAAAATAATTGCTTGCATGTTTTTGTTGATAAGCAAACACCTAGAATAATTTTTCAGGTTTCTTGGGAAACCTGAAATAGAGGAATACAAGGTAGGAACAAGCATGTTGCAAGAGTGGTTAGCACCAATGGCTTCTTATCAGTTAGGGATAACAAATACATGCATTTTTTTTGCAGTTAATGATAGGTATGTTTCAGAACTAGGATGTTTGATAGTGATAAAATGTGATATTCAGTAAACTTGTCTCGGTTTTTCTTAATTGTCAGAGCAGTTGAATGAACCTATTCTCAGTGTTCTGAAGTTCATGCTTTCAGATTTTTGTATGGCAGCTAAGTAAAAGAGCTAGAGTAGAGAACAACACCAAATATTCCTTTTGTAGTCCACCTATACTCTGGAGATTAAAGAGTATATTTGTTGTACAGCAGATGGCATCATGAGTTCAAGAATAGTGAATGAGCGTTCTTGTAAGACTTGTGATATTTTTAGCATTAATTCCATGCCTAGTAGATGAAAAGTGCTTCTATGCAGCACTTTCTTATAATTAGTTCAAATGTTTATATTATTTTTTGAGTTCCTTTTTAATACATTTTGTCTTGTCTTTAACAGGAAAAGGAGTTAAAGATTTTTAAAACATTATTTTAAGGGGTTTTAAGGGTTTTAAGGGTCCCTTTTTAAATATAAGGAGTTAGGTATCAAAGGATGAGGCTGTTTTAGCAAAATGAAATTGATGGTATACTCAGCAGTGTGCCTCTGCAGGTATTCTCATTTTGAGCCTGTTTATTTTTCTATGGATCACCTGGGATGAATTTGAAGCCTTTCTATTTTAGACTTTTCTGCTGTATTTCACGCAGCAAACTGTGTAGATTATGGTATTAAGGCCCATGTTTTCCTAGCTGTTTGAAAGTATTCCTTGTCACCCTCTAGCAGTTCCATCACCCCTTTTTTTATTATTTTAAGGTTTTTTTTTCAGTTTACTTTCTCTAGCGGCCACACTGTTACGAAGGAATTCTGTTTCTGTCTTAGATTTTTATCCTTTGTTAAGCTGTTAAGCTGAAAAAAAAAAAATTTTTAAGATAAAAAGGTTAAAACAATAAAGTTAAAATATTTATTTCATACTTTTGGTTTTGTTGCACTTGTCTGTGTGTGTGCACACGTGTATGTATGTGTGTGAGGTAAAGAGAACGGAATGCTGAAACAATCTATCTGATTGTCTTTCAATGAGATATGATTAAAAACTATAGAAAGAGAAATCACTTTAAGAAGCATCTACTAGTGGAATGGTAACAAACCCTTAGTTAAAGTACTCCAGAAATGTCTCTCATTTCTGCAGCAATAGAAACATAAAAGAAGACCAGGCGACATGTAGAGATAGAAGGGGAAATAAGAGGCTGCCATATGTTATGATTCCTGTGTTACATACAGTGCAAGAAAGATAGGTTTAATATGTTTTTAAACATTTTTACTTCAGTTCCTGTCCTGTAACTGCACTGTAAATATAGAATTGAGTCAAACCCCTCTTAACAAGATGAAGCACTGAAGAAGGAAATCAGGAGTCTTCAACATTGAAAAGTTTTCCTTCATTGGTCATACAAAATGTCTGTCCAAGAATACAAATTAAATGAGAAAATGTTTATGGTACTGGATGTTGAAGGAAGCCAAGTGTGTCTTATGATAGCGATTAATTTCTTCCTATGGAGAACAGCATGCTATAAAGATTGCAGTTGCAACTATGTTGCCCAAAATGATGTGTCAGGAAATGCTGATTGCACAACTTAATTTCTTGATGTGGTTTTAGGTCCAGGTCTTCTTGTAAAAGAAGCCTTTTTTCAAATAATTTTCTAAACTTGTTTGGCACATTTCATTGATACAATGGGGATAACCATGAAAAATACTGAATTGCAACTAAATTTCAGACATCTTGCTAACTAGGACAAACAGTATTTATTCACATAGAAGCCCATTTATTAAGATTCTTAAATTCAACAGTTTATTGTGGTAGAAGGTGACATGGAATACATTTCATTCCACTAGTTTTTTAATATTTATGAATGATGACAACTCTGTATGTAGAAACTATAATTTAATAATTGATTCAGAAGCCCAGTTTTTCTTCTGGAAACTCTGCCCACTACATACTTAGAAAAGTAGTGTTACATGATAAAATATCAATATGGTAGAATGACACCTTAAAAATGGACTTACCACTTCCCTGTCTTTTCTGATAGTGTAATTCTCAGGGGTTCAGAGGCTTCTCTAAAACTCCTCTACAAAGTGACATCATAGAAACTTAAGTTTGTAAAGTAATATACCTATTCTTTCATGCCTATGTTCACAAATTAACTTTTCATCCATTGTTACAGTAATTATTTCAGGAAAGTTAATCAGAAGGTAACTGTAGAATCTTGCATTTCAAAAACACCTTTTTGTTATTAGTGTTTCTTTAGAAATGTGATTTTTTCCTTCTTTTTAGGAGTGTGGCATAATTTTGTTCTTGGTGTTGCAAGTTTCATGGTTCTGTTTCTGCTGCCAGCCATTCTTTTCCCTTTCTATTACACGGGTGTTGGGGCACTTGTCACTGAAGTCGCAGAGGTAAGAAAAGATCTTTACTGTTTTCATACTGTATGCTTTGTGACCTGTAATGTACCTGTGTCTCTTATTATCACAGTCAAATTTGGTCAGTGCAGCACTCTGCAGAATCTAATATATTGCACTTTTTGTCTGCTTGAAGTTTCCTTCTCAGTCTCATGTTTTTTAGTATTAGTAAATGAAGGAACATGGCATGAATAATTATAGACTATTCAGCATTCTATAAAACTGTTCAGACATTTGAGATGAGTTTGCAGGCTTATTTCTGGGGGGGGGGTTAACTTCTTTTCAATATTGGCACCAAGTAAATCTACTGGAACCTGCATTATCACTCTAGTTATTGCTATCTGTTTTTAATGTTAAAGATTATTTTGAGCTGATTTCCATGCTTGTTTGGTCAGCTGGAAGCAGAGATAGACTGCTGAGTTTCTGGAAAGGACTGATTTTTTTCTGACTTAATCAAATACAGCACAGCTGAATAGCAGAGCGGAAAGGATTCAGTCTTTCTTGGATCTAAAAGTGAACTGATACAACTCAGGAGTAGAGTGACATTTATTATGCTTTATAACTTTGAAAGTATAGGTACACCCTGCTTTGTTGAAAGATTCGGGGTATTAATTTAAGCTTCTTGAACTTAAAATGTTAGGAAAAACCACAACATATTAACTTGTATGAAAATAATTACTAAAATTTGAAGAGTTCCCCTGGAACACTTGGAGTCTTGCCTTTTTCTTTTCTTTTTCGTTGCAATGAGTTATTCTTTGTACAGGATGTCGGTTTTGTAATGCTCTATCATAATCTGAAATAATGAGTTCTAGTGGAGCCTGAGATTTTCATTTTTCTCCGGAAACAGCGTCTTAACCTAAAGATTTCACGGCTATTCAGCGGAACTGTAAACAAATCCTTGTAGTTTTAACTATAGTAACATGACTGACTCATTGTTTCTTCTCAGGATTCTCCTGCCAATGGACCAAGAGGTCTTTTTGTGGGAGACCTTGTCACTAACCTACAAGACTGCCCAGTTTATAGTGTGGAAGACTGGAATTCCTGTCTGGGAGACATTTCAGAAAAGTCACAGGTCGGCTACTGTGTAAGTGCAGCCACCCTACAGCAATTAAGCTTTCCAGCTAGAGGTATGACTTTCGGTTCTCTCTTCATTATTTTATATTGCAATTTTATCATGTCTTAAAGACTATTTTGGATTTAGGTTTTGTTGGTAGGGACAAATTTCTCGTAAGTCGAGTCTGCTATCCTGTCTTAAGCAGTGACCAATATGCCATTCATTTTTGTGAAATCTGAAAGTGAGGAAGAGGTAGATAGAAGATAGAAGAATTTCTCTGGTCTTCCAGTCATCCTATACAAATATCCTGTATGATCTGAATAATGAAATTTGCCTCTTCAGGATATTGCACAACTTGGTTATTAGCAGTAACTCAATTATCTCCTCTATTTTTAGTTCTGTTATATGGATGAACGCAGTGATCTTTTGCAGATGTAGATTCCACACATTACCTTACTGCTTTGATCAGCATGACATAACAAATTGTATGGCTTAACCCAATGATGTGCTTTATTATGGCCACTTCTTCTGATGGGTCTCACTATGTGGGTTTTATGTTTCATTTGCTTCTTCAACCTCACAATGTCATTGCCCATAAACTCAGTTTTGTCTGGATTGCACATACTGCTTCTAGAAGTCGGCCTATTTCCTTCTGTTTTCATTTATACATTAGAGTGCTTGTTGCTGTAACAGCTTAGCCCTGAGAAACAAAAATATGTGAACTGAACTAAACTAGAACAATAAACAAAAACGAAGTAGAACAAAAAAGAACAGTCAAGTTAAATTGGCTGAACGTCTTGTGTCTGTCGCCGAGGCAAGCAGCTCCAGAGCGCTCTAGCACGGCGCACAGGGGGATCCCGAACTGGGGCACCCTCCGGGGGTGCAGAGCGAGCCACCAGGAGCCTGCAGCTTGCGCAACAGTGGCTGACAAGACCTGGGTGGGGCCAGGAGCAACCGTGACCAAGCCCCCCACACGTGTAAATGAAGCCCTTAGGGAGCACTAGCGACCAGGGCGTGGCGCGTCAGCAAGGGCGTGGTGTGGCAGTTTGTGCGCCAAACAGGGCGTGGCGCGTCAGCAAGGGCGTGGCACGGCAGGGCGTGCAGGAAGGGCGCTGAAGCTCTGCCAGCTCGACCAGGGAGCAATGGTATCCACCTGGCAGAAAGCCATAGCCTCTCCAAGCTCTGCACCCACCACGACGGACGCAGCTTCCCAGACAGAGCTCCGGTGGGCACACGCAGCCCTGCAGCCGTGCCCTGATCTTACACCAGTACCGGCCAGCAGCAGTGAGCACACCTGTGAGCACACCAGTGGCCCAGGCAGAGGAACTCCTCCGCTTAGTGACAGAGCTCCGGGAGGAGATGACTAGGTTGAGGAGTATCAAGGAGCGCAAGAGAGAGAGACAGACTGCTGGAGTCGCACCATGCCTTCCCTGGGACAAGCCTAACAGGCAGACAGGATGCTTGACATGTAGGATTCCCTATCCTCTCTCCGCCTGGCTGAACACAGGGACTTAAGGGATAGGGGGCAATGGCAACAAGTTCCTGCCCGCCGCAAGCAGGCGCGTCTCCTCTGTGACTACCGCGCCTTCCCCGGTGCCCTTGCACAATAGGTACAGAGGCTCTGCAAGTGGAACTGAACAGTGACGAGGACAATGGTTCATCTAGCTTGGAGGCGTCGACAAGGTTAAGTCAGCCTACGCCCTGCGTCAAAACTGCTTCCATAAAGAGAAAAAGATGGGTCATTGTCATAGGAGACTCTCTCCTGAGGGGAACAGAAGGCCCAATATGCAGACCGGACCCACTTCTTAGGGAAGTCTGCTGCCTCCCTGGGGCCCGGCTTAAAGATGTGAAGAGAAACTTCCTACCCTGGTACGGCCCTCAGATTATTATCCATTATTGATTTTTCAGGTAGGCAGCGGTGAAGTTGCAACAAGAAGTCCACGGGCAATCAAGAGAGACTTCAGGGCCTTGAGACGACTGGTTAAGGGATCAGGAGCACAAGCAGTATTCTCCTCTATCCTTCCAGTTGCAGGGAATGATGGGGGAAGAAACAAGGAAGAGCCAGCAGATCAATACCTGGCTCTGAGCCTGGTGACACTGGCAGAATTTTGGGGTTTTTTGATCATGGGTCGGTGTACAGGACACCAGGCCTGCTGGCAACAGATGGAGTACAGATGTCTCAAAGGGGGAAAAGGATCTTTGCACAGGAGTTAGCAGGGCTTATTGAAAGAGCTTTAAACTAGATTTGAAGGAGGAAAGGGATAAAACCAGGCTCACTAGAGATAAGCCTGGGGACACTGGCAGAATTTTGGGGTTTTTTGATCATGGGTCGGTGTACAGGACACCAGGCCTGCTGGCAACAGATGGAGTACAGATGTCTCAAAGGGGGAAAAGGATCTTTGCACAGGAGTTAGCAGGGCTTATTGAAAGAGCTTTAAACTAGATTTGAAGGAGGAAAGGGATAAAACCAGGCTCACTAGAGATAAGCCTGGGGGCGGCATGCCAATGTTTGAGGGACGGTGTGCTAAAGGGACCTTCAATCTGCCGTCTCAGTGGAGGAGGATGGAGATCCATGTGGCAGCAAAGACG